GTGTGGTCTGTCTGGCACTGATTATATCCAACATTCTTTACTGCTTTGGTAAATCTGTCAAACCATGCTCTTGGTGATTGTTTAAGTCCATACAAAGACTTTTTGAGCTTGCAGACTTTGTTGGTGTTAGCTGGAGTGTCAAAGCCAGGAGGAATCTCCATGTATACTTCTTCTTCAAGATCACCATTAAGGAACGCATTCTTTACATCTAGCTGATAGAGGGGCCAGTCAAGATTGGAAGCTAATGAGAGCAAAACCCGAACAATATTGAGTTTAGCTACAGGCGCAAAAGTCTCCTGGTAATCGATCCCATAGGATTGTGTGAATCCTTTAGCCACTAGACGAGCTTTAAATCGATTTACACTCCCATCTGATTTATATTTGATAGTGAAGATCCATTTGTAACCTACAGGGCGTTTTCCTTGTGGCAACTCAGATATCACCCATGTCCCATTCTTTTCAAGAGCTCGGATTTCTTCCCAAATAGCATCCTTCCATTCTGGAATGCAAATAGCATCGCTAATCGAACTGAGAATCTGAGTACTGTCAAGGTTGCTAACAAAAGCATGGTGACTGGGTAACAATCTCTCATATGAGATAAAGTTACAAATGGGATGATTAGTACACAAGCGAGTGCCTTTTCTTAGGGCGATAGGTCTATCGAGATCTTCATTAGGCATATTGCAAGGAGTAGAGTCACTCGTATTACCTGGTGAATTTTGAGGTTCTGGAATTAGGATGGACTCATGATCGTGATCGGTTGTCTGCAGTCTTTTATCATCTCGAGTTTTGTTCCTCCTTGTATAGACACGTAACTCACTAATGTTTGCAAGTTGTGTGGGAATTGAACACTGAGGATTTTGCTCTTTTAGAGTGTCAGGCTCGGGTGGGATATCAAGGCTTGGACTAGGATTTTGATCCATACTTGTTTGGAATGGTTGAGGTGACTCAGTTGGAAGAGTATCATGACCATAAGACAACTCCAAGGCATCAACGTCCCGAAGCTGATATTCCTGATATTTATGAGTAAAGTTCTCCCCCTGAATATTAGTTTTGGAATAGAAGGGTTGATGTTCAAAGAATGTAACATCCATAGAGTTGTAGAATTTTCGAGTGACTGGAGAGTAACATTTATACCCTTTCTGATGTGAAGAGTACCCTACAAATATGCATTTGAGAGCCTTTGGATCAAGTTTGCTATGGTATTGGGCATGTATATGGACAAACACAGAACAACCAAATACCTTCAAGGGAAGAGTAGACAAAATATGAGTACTCGGGAAGGATTGAAGGAGGATATGATAAGGTGTTTGAAACTTCAAGACTCGAGAAGGCATTCTGTTTATCAAGTAAGCAGCTGTTAGGATTGCCTCACCCCAGAAAAAATTTGGAACATAAGTGGTGAACATAAGAGAACGAGCAACGTTAAGGATGTGTCTGTTTTTTCTTTCTGCCACCTCATTTTGTTGTGGTGTATTGACACAAGAACTTTGATGTACAATGCCCTAGCTCCCAAGATACTCGCCAGAATTGTTTCAAAATGTTCTTTTGCATTATCGGTTTTCAACACTTGTATTTTTGTTTGGAATTGTGTCTGAACCATAGTGTTGAATTTTCTAAAAATTTGACCAACTTCAGATTTTTCTTTCATGAGGAATAACCAAGTGATTCTAGAGTGATCATCAACGAAGGACACAAACCACCTTGTGCCAGTAATATTTTTAATCCTAGAAGGTCCCCATACATCACTATGAATCAAGGAAAAAGGATGAGATGCTTTGTATGGTTGAATGTGATAAGAATTACGAGCATGCTTTGCGAACTGACATACTTCACATTGGAACAATTTTGGATCTTTATTTATAAATAAAGATGGAAATAATTTTTGGAGATACAAAAAATTAGGATGACCTAGACGATAGTGCCATAACATGATTGCACTATTTTTATTGAAATTCTCAACAGAAATTAAGCTTTTATTTGACTGACTTTGACCTTTAGACTCAACACATTCTGCATTGTGAGTTTGTCTTATAGGAGGTTCATCACTTTTGAGAAGATATAGTCCTGAGCACATCCTAGCACTGCCAATCGTCCTCCCCGAATCCAAACCCTGAAATTCACACATATTTGGGAAGAATTTAGTAATGCAGTTAAGGTCTTGGGTGAGTTTACTCACTGACAAAAGATTGCAGTCAAGATTGGGAACATGAAGTACTGATGTTAATGATAGGTCCTGTGAGAGAATGATAGAACATGTTCCAGCTACTTTAGAAAGAGACCCATCAGCTATTTTTACCATAAGATCCTCTCGGCATGGATTGTAATGATGAAATAATGAGATGTCTCCCGTCATGTGATCTGATGCACCGGAATCTACAATCCATGGACTTTTGTTTTTTGAATTAACTATAAGAGCACTCAAGTAATTACCTTTGTGTGCTAAAGACCCAGTTCCTATAATACTTTGGGTAGATGTTTGTTGTGAGAACATCTTTTGAAGTGCTTCAAGTTGTTCCTTGCTGAAGAGGCTGGATTCCGTGGAAACAGAATGTCCTTCTTCAATGATAACATGGTTCCCACGGATTTCTTTGTCAGGAGCAGGTCTTGAAGGCTTTCCAATCCACCGGTTTCCCGTGTATTTTCCAACATGTCTCACGAGTATGACCTGGTTTTCGACAGTGATCACACCATGGTCTTCCCTTCTTCGGTCGAATGTCATTGTTGTTGTTATGGACTCATCGTGCAACAAGTGCAGAAGAGTTATCTGTGATGGGAGCAGTGTGAGATTCTCCCATCATCACTTTCTTTCTGCTTTCTTCTCTACGCACCTCGGAGAAGACTTCTCGAATGTTAGGTAGAGGTTTCGTGCCTAGTATTCTTCCACGAACCTCATCCAAGTTCTTGTTAAGTCCCATTAAGAACTTAAAAATTCTTTTCTTTTCGACGATCTCTCTGAACTTCTTAGCATCATCAGCGCAGCCCCATTTGTGATCTTCAAAGACATCTAATTGTTGCCAGTGTCGAGTAAGAGTGTTGTAGAATTGCGTGACAGATAAATCTTCTTGTCGAAGATCATGGAGTCTGCTTTCTATCTCGAATATTGCTGATGTGTTCTCTTTGCTTGAGTAAAACTCTTTTGCAGCGTCCCATATTTCATGAGCCGTGCTATAGAGCAAGAAATTTTCACCTATCTCGTTGGTCATGGAATTAACCAGCCATGACATGACCATATTGTTCTCTTTTTTCCAGAGTTTAAATCTGGGATCTCCTGCTTGTGGAGGAACGACTTCGCCGATGAGATATTCATCCTTCCCCTTCCCACAGATGTACATCATGACGGACTGCGACCACTGAAGGTAATTGTTCCCATTTAATTTGTGTCCTGTAATAGGAAGAGAAACACCATCTGCAACGACATGAGTGCCGGTGATAGGGAATTCATCACCTGAAGTGACTTCAGATGAAGAGGAGGATTGTTTTTCTGTGGCCATGCCGTATTTGGTCATCAGAAAATTTTGTTGGATAGTTTCAGAGACTTCTCTGATACCATGTGGAAAATTGAGAATGAAATTGTAATTTTCTCATACTTTTCTGAAAAGGATTACATAGCTATTTAAAGAGAGGAAGAAGTTAAGCTTTTCCTCAAAATCTGGAAACTAAAAGATTGGAATAACAGATAGAAGATCTTGGTAATCAATACCTGAATCTCTTTATTCTAGGAAACAAACTAAACAGAATCTTGACAACTAATTCCTAGTAATCAGGTAGTAAATCACAGATTTCAACTAATCATGTAGTAAATCACAGATTTCCACAATAATAATTCCTATAACTTATGGAGAAATCTGTGAAGAAATTGTATTTAAGCATGGCCACTCTGGGGAATTTAACAATGGGTTGCCTGTGAACTCAAGAATGATTTTTCAGCCAGCATCATTTAGGGAGGAAATGTGGAATAACTTCATAGCTCAACATGCTTTAGATAGAGCAATTTTAGAATGGGGCCTCCTAGGAAGTTCCACCTGGGGTGTAACAAATATATGGAGTACATGCATGTGTTCACACACGCGCTCACGCGTGCACACACGCGCTCACGCGTGCACACACGCACACGCACGCGCACACAAACACACGCTCGCACACAATATACATACAGAAATACATGCACACTGCACACATACATATAATACACACATGCATATGTAAACACATACATACACATACTACACATATCTATACACGTACAGACAAATAGTATGCATACACGTGCATGCAATATGTGTCTCCTTGTGCATGTTGTACTTGGATACACATATCTATCTATGAATGTGTGTGCATGTGCGCGTGTGTGCAGACGTGTCTGAGTGTATATGCGTGTTGGTGTGGGTGTACGTGTGGGTTGTATGTGCGCGTCCATGTGCGTTTGTGTGGGTGTGTGCGCACACCTGTCTATACAGCTAGTAGGTCCTTTGGAAAGAATCTTGAAGCAGACCATTCCTACTTATATCCGATGTTAGGCTTTGCGAATTCAAAACATGATCAATTCGAGTTGATTTACATTATCTAGAAACGCCTAAAAGCCAAAAACCAAGTAATTGTGAGTTTTCTTGTCTAGTCACAGAGTACACAGCATAAAGCAGCCTAGGATGTTTTAATTCCAACAATATTCATGTGCAAGAGTTTGCAAATAATTGGATCATGAATCCTTGATTAACAGTTTGAATTCTCAATTTGGATGCCATAAACCATGGATCTAATGAATATGCTGCTTTCAGTTGTTGGATTCTTGATACATAGACAACTAAAACAAGAATACGTCTCCATCCCAACTTTCTACTTGAGTCATTTTCTTCTGTTAACCTCTATGAAATGTTTTCTCCTCATTTAGGCAATAATTCTATAGTCTATACGTCAACTTGAATGGTGTGAAATTTCCATTTGGATTCCTTACGAGAATATGTGCTTTCCCCTCTAAATTTTCACTTTTTCTGGTGCAGGAGGTTCATCATCAGCTGCTCCATTAAATCGTGGAGGCAATGTATGCAATATATATACCTCTTTTTTCGAATATATATTCCTGCAGATTTCACATTCTCTTGGTATATGAAATAAAGATCAGTGTATCTTGATGTGTGTGTAACAGGCAACAGCTCAGTCCGATGATGGAAAGCCTGACTTGTCAGAAGCAGACATGGTTGTATTTCTTGGTGATTTTAATTATCGGCTCCATAGCCTTACCTATGATGAGGCAAGAGACATGGTTTCACAAAGATGTTTTGACTGGCTTCGAGAAAAAGATCAGCTTCGAGCAGAGATGAAAGCAGGCAGGGTCTTTCAAGGCATGCGTGAAGGGCTAATCACATTTCCTCCAACATACAAGTTTGAAAGACATGTAGTTGGACTAGCAGGTTTGTTCTACATACCCATTTCCTTTGAATGAGCTCTGCTATCTGCTGAGGAAAATATATGTTCAAGAAAAACAAAGCTTTTCATATATTCTCTATGTAGGATATGATTCCGGTGAGAAAAAACGTATTCCGGCTTGGTGTGATAGGATATTATATCGTGATAGCCGTGCTATATCGATGGCTGAATGCTCACTGGAGTGTCCTGTGGTCAGTAGTATCATGCAGTAAGTCTTTCTTTAAGCTTTGTAGCATGATAATCTATATCCTTGTGGCAAATAAATTGACTCGGAACATTAACTTGGGTAGGTATGAAGCTTCCATGGATGCCACGGACAGCGATCACAAACCTGTCAGGTGCATATTCAATGTTGAAATTGCACGTGTTGATGAATCTATAAGGAGGAAAGAATTTGGGCAAGTAATTTTATCCAATGAGAAAATAAAATCTTTGCTTGTTGAATGTTGTACTGTTCCTGATACTATTGTCAGTACAAACAATATCATCCTTCAAAACTCTGAGAAGTCGATACTCAGAATTACTAACAAATGTGAGAAGTATAAAGCTACTTTTGAAGTCATCTGTGAAGGTCAGTACACTATCAAGGAGGATGGAGATACATCTGACCTATCTGCCAAGGGCTCCTTTGGCTTTCCTCACTGGCTACAGGTATGTCATCATAAGACATTTTATGTTTACTACTTCATTTCAGGGTTTGCATGCGTTTATTTGTATCACATATCTTGTATCAGACTGACATTATAGTTGGAAAATAGTTTTAAGAAAAGTATGCAAATGGTGCAATATATCTAGTTTAAGAGTTAATTGTGAAAGGGCCCCTGTACTATCCACCAAACTGAAGTAACTACCCCTAAAGAGTTCTATTGTTGCAGATAGACCCCTTAAGGGAAAATTTGTCACTGCAGATAGATCCCCTCTAACGGGTCAAAAAAATTTCATTCAGGGGGTCTATCCAATAGGACTACAAGATAGTAAGTTCGATTTGGTGATAGTACAGGGGGTCTATCCACAATTAACCCTGTGTAGCTTAAAACCTTTTGAGCGACATCATGACGGAAACACTACTAGTTGCCTCTAAACTCTATATGTTATTCCCGTCACATGGTTAAGCATGCGAAATAGCTCTTTCTACTTTCCTCCTAATAAGTTTTATATTCTGTGCATGTGAGCTAATATATTTACGAAGACATAATAATGCTCGTAGTGGGACTCTTTCAGATGGCAAATGGCAGATAATGCTTAATTTGGAAACAAAATTCTGAAATTGAAACTATGCCAAAGGATTTCTATCCCCATCTATCTAAATGCGCTGACTCATAGATTGATCTAAAGTATAGGACTGATTTCTTGTTACATGCTATGCAGGTGAACCCAGCAGCTGGTGTTATAAAGCCTGGCCAAATCATAGAGGTACGTGTACAACATGAAGAGCATTTTACCCAAGAAGCATTTGTGGATGGAGTCCCTAGTAACTGGTGGTGTGAAGACGCTAAGGACAAAGAAGTCATATTATTAGTAAATATAACGGGTAGTTACTCAACAGAGAAAAAAACTCACCGGATACATGTTCGCCGTTGCTATTCCTCTCAGTCCTCGAGTGAAGATAAAGGAACTACTACTAATAAAGTTCAATCTAATCATCTCCATAGGGCAGAATTTGCAGACTTTGAAAGCAATTCAACAGATTTGGTACCGGACTTTTGTCCAATACAGAGGCCATTAAGATGATACTAGATGAAAATAATTTGAAATTTTGGAAGAAATTTTTCTCGCATTCCTTTTTATCCTCAAGAAGTGGAAATAGAATGGAGTTTGGAATCTGGTTGCTCATTTCGGTTGTTCTTCTGTACATATTGCATCATATGCTCGTCTCCAGTTTTTCTAAAAGGAAGATCTTAGTATCTGAGTGTTGTTGTCGCAATATTCTTTTTGGACCGTTGATTGTGATTCTTAGAAGTGGGTAGATATCTCAGTTAGTAACAAAGATCATTTGATCAGGTTTTCTGTTCGTGATAGTTTGAGATAGGTTTTATTGTGTGTATTTACCCTTTGTAATGATGTGTATCAGCTCTTGTGACGTATTTCCCTCCTTATTTTTCTTTTTTCTTTATCTTCCCCTGTAAGAAATTTGGAGAACAATAATGATTGACTAGAAGAGTGGCAAGGTTTTCAAAAGCTCCCTCTCGGTTTTTGGTATACACTTTGATTCAATAATCGGCAAGATCCATTTTGTAACGCATTGCATTCTTTTGTTTGTTTATTTATTTATTTATTGTGTAAGCTGGTATTGGGGTTAAAAAAATTACTATGTCCTAGTGTAAGACAAAGCAACAACTGTTTGATCGATCAAAAACAACTTTGTGGATAGGGCAAGGGTGTTATTATTATAAGGATTAGGAATGCAAATTAAGGTTACTTTTAATACTGCATGCTTCAACGTGGAAAGTTGAGCCATGCCTGTAAAAGCAAATACAAAAGCATATAATTTGTAAATGCTTTGTTTGGACGCAATCGGAAGTGTCTAGTGTTAGAGCTTTTACATCCCATGTTACTTTTTACTGATTTAGATGTGGGACTAAAGTGCGGTGTCAAACTTCAAGTTAGCTCCAGGTTACGGTGTTGTGTAAAGGCTCAACAGTTAGAGTATTGTTCTTGACATATCTGCAGACCTAAAGTCATTTTACCTCCAGCGAAAGATAGAAAGAGAAAAATAAAGAAGAACGAGATGAAAAAGGAAAAGGCGAGGACAAGAAGTAAGAAGAAGGAATTTCAAATGTACCTTTGATCATGCTCAACGTTAGAGATAACCTGCAGGAAAATATTTCCTCCTAAATAACTGTCAATGTTTTTCAGCTATTATTTAAATTTTTTTTATATCAGATATCAAGTTTTCACTTTCTCACTGTCGATATGAAAGTAAAACTAAAGCCCATTCATCCTCCTACCATGTAATTTTTTTGACCGGATCAGAGAAAATTTATTTTTTGTATCTTGTGATATACGCTGCTAATGATGAATTTTGACTGCAGAAAAGAACCATTGCAAACTGCAGTTGGGTATTGAGAAAGTTGAGAAAAGCTAGGGAACAAAGAGCACGTAGCTCAGGCTTTTTCTTCCCTAAAGTTGGTGCAAGAGTAAGATAAAGCCTAATTTCCTCTCATCTTTTCTCTACTTTTGATGTTAGACCTCAAGTACTGATTATTTGAACTACATAAAGTGTAGAAATTTCATGAGTCAAAAAGCTCTTTGAATAAAAGGAGTGACGGTTTCATTCAGTTCTGAGGAGTTATGGATCATTACATGACCCTGACCTGTACAAAAAGAGGAGCTTAAGTTTTATTGTAGACGCACTTACTGTAATTACCCGGGTCCAATCACCCGTATCCTCTAAATATTTTTATTAGCACTTTCACTCTCTTAAATCCTCATGGTATTAATATTTTTCAAGTTAAGTCGAGATGTCGTGTGTTCTAAGTGGAGAACATGTGATTACCTTTTACCCTCAGTTTTACTTGGGGGGATGGGGGTAGAGAGATTAAGTTACTCTAAATCGAGGGGCATTATGAGATTCAAGAGGTCTTAAGTGCTAATAAAATTTTTACGAGGTGTAAGTGGCTATGCCACTATCTTAGTACTTAAAAAAATAGATAGAAATTATTGCACAAATCTTGCAAGCAAACTCTTTGTTACATTTTCTCTTGGAATACATCACTAACAATAACTCCACTCATTACAAAAACTCAACTCATTAACAATCCTCGTTCAGGCAATGCAGTTGAGGCCCAGACACCCAGAGAAGTAATTTCTAAGCATTCTCTTCTGCATTCAAAGTAGAGAGATGCAAAGTTAGAAAAAAATCAGGAAACATATATGAACTTTTAACTTTTAATCATAAATAATAATGCATTTGTACTCCTCTGCTGACTGATACTATCATTTTGGAGATTACCTAGCTATATGCATATTCAAAGTTATATACTCGCTAAAGGCACGAGTTAAGAATGTATTTCAAAAATCTTTGCGTAAGAGAAACCTCTTCTTGTATTGTGTTTGGCACAAGTAAAGAATGTACTATTAATCTTCTTCTATACTTCAAAAAAAAAAAAAAAAACATTTAGCCACAAAACAAAAACAAAAAGAGAGAGAGAAGAAAAAACCTCATCTTGTATTGTATTTGCCACAAGTTGAGAATGCACTATTAATCTTGTGAGAGAACTATTATAGATTTTCAGGCATGAGTATATTAATTCACATTAATTTTGGAAGGAATAAGAATGTATAATGAATTTTTTTTAAAAATGGACTCATTGCTGAATAGTTTAAGTCACTGGGATGATATGATTCCAACATATATATATATATAACTCATCCAACTTTTCGAAAGTTAAGTTAATTAGTTTTATGCAGGTTGCCTTAATTTCAAATACAGATAATTTGTATAAAAGAGAAGATTAAATACAAAAGTCTGAAGAAATTTATACCCTCTTCGGAGTACGATACAGTAGCTCAGGAGGTATCTTGTACAAATCTTCATCAACAGCCTTTGGTTTCTTAGTACTCGCATAACACATTCTGCCCTTCTTCTTCCTATGATTTTTCTCCTCTTTCCCCTGAAATCAATCGAGAAAACCATTCCCCTCAATTTGTTATACATATATTTTTTAGGATATGCCAACAATAAATAAGGCTAGCTACTAATAACTAATGTAGACAAACCTGATGATTATGGTTATAGCAAGAAGCAGGCTCTGCAAATGCCTGCACATTGAAGAGATCTACGTCTTGTCCTTGAAAGAAATGAACTCTCTTAGAACGAACTCCTGGCTCCAAGTAATGAGCAACTGGAATTCCGTCGCAGAAATCCCATTTCCCGTAGCTCATAATGTCACACATCTTGCAGGTTATCGTGCAAGAAAAAAGTACGACAGCAATCTGGTTCGGCAAAATAATGGACGGGAGAGGAGAATGAGGAGGTGAGAGGAGAATGAGGAGGTGATCGAGGAGGCCAGGCTTGGATTTATAAGGTGAGAAATGCAATAATGCGGGAAACAAAAATCCATGTAGAGGAACCTATAGGGAGAAAGCAGATGATGACACCTGTCATATCCGTGTGGTCACGATTAGCGTATTACTAATTAATGCTCGTTTTGATAATATAACAAAAAAAAATCATGAATATTGCTGCACGTATCATTAATGCCCATCAGAGCAAGGGCAGCAAGCTCGTAAAAGAGCTCTCAAGGCTGATGTGGCGGTGGAACGATTCTGCATACCCTCCAGCAACCTCCCAAGCCCGCTCTCAAGGGCTCTCAACGCTGACGTGGAGCTTGCAGCCATCGGAGCTCCCAAGCGCTCCACAAATTTGTGGAGCGCTTGGGAGCTCCCAACTGCTCTGAAATTTTACAAACCCCCCCCTACAAAAATCCTCCTACCAAATTGAGCCAACACAGGGAGCTGAAGGATGATTTGGCGGCGAAGAGGCCTCCGACGCCGGTGCCTCGGACGATGTCGAGGGTTTGGGGTTGGGGAGCCAGAGCTTGCGGTCGTCGTCGTCGTCGAAGATTGGGGTGCGGGCGTCGTCGCTGAAGATTGGGGTTTGGGGAGATAGAGCTCGCGGTCGTCGTCGCCGATAATTGGACGTCGTCGGGAGAGGGTTTGGGTCGGAGGATTTGGGATTTGGGGTTGGAGGTTTGGGCTGAAGATTGGGGTCAGAGGGTTTGGGATTTTGGGGTTGGAGGTTGCGAAAGAAGGTTTGGGTTGGGGATTTTTGTTATTGGGTGTGCTGCTTTGTTTGAGGGTTTTTTTTGATATTGTTGGAGCTCCTAACTAGGAGCTTGTTGGAACTTCATAAAATAAGTAGATGCTCCCAAGACCTATTTTTATAATTTTTAATATCAAAATGCTTGAGAGCTCTTGAGAGCTTGCTGACTAGGACTCCCAACTGGGAGCTTGCTGGACTTGCTCTCAGTGCGCTCACTACGTTGCTCACATGTACATTAATCCTCATCACAACCTCAGAGTTTTGATGTAGTGACCGAGTCCTTTGACATGGTACCGGAGCAACTCAAGTTCAATTCCTACATGAAAATAATTCAGGCGAATGTGTTTAAAAAATAAAATCTATAACGCTACGCGTATCTAAGTTTGGGTCCATAAAAAAGACGCTCAATCTAATAGAGCATGTTAGTTATAAATCATAGCCATTGATCTTCGCAAGACTTCGAAGTTTTGATATAAATGCAAGGTCCTATGACACCCCCCCCCCCCATTAAGGATATATAAGATTATTCTAACATGCCAAACAAAAAAAAAAAAAATGCACATGGAAATGAACGCGTTTGCCCACCTTAATATACCAAACATAAAGTTTATAAAAGAGTTGAATAATCATTCTATCTGTTAATTAGCAAAGTTCTTTGACCGCTTCAGCTCCATCACGTTGTAGCTAAAAATGAGGTAAATCAAAGCGTTACCACTTAACATTTACTCATCCTTGTAAGTTCTCTCTTCACCTTAATTTAATTTGTATTTTTTAAGGCTTTCTTTCCTTTTTTATTTATTTATAATAAAGCCTGTAATCTGGTCTTTGATTTATACTAGTAAAATGAATGTGCTTTGCACGTGGACATGTTGTTGTATTTAATATTATACTATTTAATAAATTATATATAATCATTAAAAAATTATTGCACTATGATTTAAATTTTTTTAACTTACTAATATTAGTACTTATACTATTATTGACATACATTTAATAGTTATTTAAAATTTTCTATTATTATATTATTAAACAATTTATTTAGGAGTATAATTATTAAATAATAATGTAATCATTAAGGATATATAAGATTATTCTAACATGCCAAACAAAAAAAAAAAAAATGCACATGGAAATGAACGCGTTTGCCCACCTTAATATACCAAACATAAAGTTTATAAAAGAGTTGAATAATCATTCTATCTGTTAATTAGCAAAGTTCTTTGACCGCTTCAGCTCCATCACGTTGTAGCTAAAAATGAGGTAAATCAAAGCGTTACCACTTAACATTTACTCATCCTTGTAAGTTCTCTCTTCACCTTAATTTAATTTGTATTTTTTAAGGCTTTCTTTCCTTTTTTATTTATTTATAATAAAGCCTGTAATCTGGTCTTTGATTTATACTAGTAAAATGAATGTGCTTTGCACGTGGACATGTTGTTGTATTTAATATTATACTATTTAATAAATTATATATAATCATTAAAAAATTATTGCACTATGATTTAAATTTTTTTAACTTACTAATATTAGTACTTATACTATTATTGACATACATTTAATAGTTATTTAAAATTTTCTATTATTATATTATTAAACAATTTATTTAGGAGTATAATTATTAAATAATAATGTAATCATT